CCCGTCCTCAGGTGAAGAACAGGTCTGTCGGAAAGACAGCGTCTGAAGAGTGACACATCTTTGGTGCCACACTCGAGAGGGCCTTGATTGAGGTGGGCGGGCCCGGGTAGAGCTGCGTGGCCGGGGGTCAAGAGCCATTCCCGGTTCACCTTGGGGGTGCGACGGGGATGTCCTCTCGCGTCTAAATTATCGAACATCTTCGACCACGAACTTTGAGAAGCCTTCCATGTCTGCACCAGAGGCATCTCTATCTGGTACGACGGGAGGCTGATCGAGGGATGGCTCCCGATTAGTTAGCCGCGTTACGTATGCCGATGATCTGGTAATTGCTGCTCGCTCTGAGGAGTTAGTGTACGTGTGACTGTGTGTGTGTGTGTACGTGCATGTGTACACGTGTGTGTGTAGTGGGGGGGGCGATGGTGCAGCGGTTAGCGCTACGCTGCGCTACGAACCTGGCGACCCGGGTTCGATTCCCGCTCGCGGCCAACACCGGTGACGATTATCTGAACCCGTCCCGGGCCTCCCCTAGGTCGACTCGGCCTCAAACGAGTACCTGGTGCGGTGTGTAAACATCGCCACTGGAGAGACAAAGGCGGCCGGGCGTGGTGCTGGCCACCCACCCCCTCGTGTGCCGTGCCGGCCTTCATAGGTGCTCGCTAACAGCACTTTGTGGTGGGGGCAGTAGTGCAGCGATTAGTGCGCTGCGCTAAGGACCCCAGTTGGGTCCCCGCTCACGCCCAACACCAGTGACGGTTATCAGAACCGGTCCTGGGCCTCCCCTAGGTCGACTCGGCCTCAAATGAGTACCTGGTGCGGTGTGTGGTGAATCACCGGACAGAGGGTGGCCAGTCCTGGTGTGGTGTTGGTCACCCACGCTCCGTCGTGTGCTGCTGCTGCTACTGCTGCTACTGCTGCTACTACTGCTGCTGCTGCCGCTGCTGCTGCTGCTGCTACTGCTGCTACTGCTGCTACTACTGCTGCTGCTACTGCTGCTGCTGCTGCCGCTGCTGCTGTTGCTGCTGCTGCTACTGCTGCTGCTACTGCTGCTACTGCCGCTGCTGCTACTGCTGCTGCTGCTGCCGCTGCTGCTGCTGCTGCTACTGCTGCTGCTACTGCTGCTACTACTGCTGCTGCTGCTACTGCTGCTGCTGCTACTGCTGCTACGTGCTACTGCGGCTGCTGCTACTACTGCTGCTACTACTGCTGCTGCTACTGCTGTCTACTACCTGCTATTACTGCTGCTGCTGATGCTACTACTGCTTCTACTACTACTGCTGCTGCTGCTGCTGCCGCTGCTGCTGTTGCTGCTGCTGCTACTGCTGCTACTACTGCTGCTACTGCTGCTGCTACTACTGCTACTGCTGCTGCTGCTACTGCTACTACTACTGCTGCTACTGCTACTACTGCTGCTGCTGCTACTACTGCTGCTGCTGCTACTACTGCTGCTGCTGCTACTACTACTGCTGTACTACTGCTGCTGCTACTGCTACTACTGCTGCTGCTGCTACTACTGCTGCTGCTGCTACTGCTGCTACTGCTACTACTGCTGCTACTACTGCTGCTACTGCTGCTACTGCCTGCTACTGCTACTACTGCTGCTACTACTGCTGCTCTACTACTGCTGCTGATGCTACTACTGCTGCTACTGCGGCTGCTACTACTGCTGCTACTACTACTGCTGCTGCTGCTGCTGCCGCTGCTGCTGTTGCTGCTGCTGCTACTGCTGCTACTACTGCTGCTACTGCTGCTGCTACTACTGCTACTGCTGCTGCTGCTACTGCTACTACTACTGCTGCTACTGCTACTACTGCTGCTGCTGCTACTACTGCTGCTGCTGCTACTACTGCTGCTGCTGCTACTACTACTGCTGCTACTACTGCTGCTGCTACTGCTACTACTGCTGCTGCTGCTACTACTGCTGCTGCTGCTACTGCTGCTACTGCTACTACTGCTGCTACTACTGCTGCTACTGCTGCTACTGCTGCTACTGCTGCTACTACTGCTGCTACTGCTGCTGCTACTACTGCTGCTACTGCTGCTACTCGCCACGAACGGCATTAGGCCTGGACAGCTTGCTCAAGGCGACGCACGCTGGCGGGGGGGATCTTTGTGTTTGTAGGTGGAGGTGGACTGGGAGAAGGTGGAGGCCAAGATCGAGCTGGAGCTGCAGAAGGAGCGGGAGAGGGGGGGGGCGACGACGACGACGACGACGGTGACGACGCAGGGAGCCAGGGGGGGGCACGCGGTGCAAAGATAGCGCGGAGCCGTGGTGGGGGGCACACCGGGAGACACACGGGGGGGGGGGGGCACACGGGGGGGGGGAGGGGGGGACATGGGGACACAGTGGTAACATTCAGGAAATGGGGGGACACGTCGGGACACACGGGGACACAGTGGGACACGTGGGGACACACGGGGACACAGTGGGACACAGTGGGACACAGTGGGACACGTGGGGACACTTTGGGACACATTGGGACACTTGGGATCACACGTTGGGACACGTTGGGACACTTGGGGACACACGGGGACACTTGGGGACACTTGGGGACACACGGGGACACGTTGGGACACTTTGGGACACACGGGGACACTTGGGATCAGACGGGGACATGGGGGACACGGGGGGAACGTGGGGACACGTTGGGACACGTGGGGACACGTTGGGACACACGGGGACATGTTGGGACACGTTGGGACACTTGGGGACACTTGGGGACACGCGAGAGCGGACACACACGGAGATACTCGAGCCCTCGTCACTGGAGATGCATCCTCATCATCATCACCATCGTCACCACCATCCACCACTACCACCACCGTCACCACCATCATCACCATCACCACCATCACCACCATTACCATCGTCATCATCACCACCATCGTCATCATCACCACCATCACCACCACCACCACCATCACCACCACCACCATCGTCATCATCACCACCACCATCGTCATCATCACCACCACCATCATCATCACCATCACCACTACCACCATCACCACCACCATCGTCACCACCACCACCACCGTCACCACCATCACCACCATCCCATCATCATCACCACCGTCATCATCACCACCACCACCACCGTCACCATTCATCACCACCACCACCACCATCACCACCATCACCACCACCATCATCACCTCCACCACCACCCACCGTCATCATCACCACCATCACCACTACCACCACCGTCCACCACCACCGTGACCATCACCTCCATCACTACCATTCTCACCATCACCACCATCATCATTATAACCGCCATCATCCTCGCCACAATGTCCATCATTATCATCAATGTCATCAGCACCATCTGTTATTATCACCACCACCACCATTATCACCACCAGGCACTTGTGTGAAATTAAACTCACGTGGCTTGGAGGCCTCGCTGCATCCCGTGTCCTCTCTCTGTGTGTGCTGGCGTGGTGAGCAGCGGTAAGCATCACTGTGTGTGGTATCAATGGATAATGGCGGTCATCACTGGTATCAATGAGTGATGAGTGTTGCACGCCGAACCTCGGAGCAAAGCCTCATTCTCCGATGTTGGATCCTGTAGAGATGACGGGAGGGAGCTTGTCATTTTCTCTCAACTATCTTGAACAACTCCTTTAGCCAGGGTCTCTGGGGAGGTCTGGACCGCGTAC